TGCAGTTGTGAGCTGCCATGCGGGTGCAGTTGTGAGCTGCCATGCGGGTGCAGTTGTGAGCTGCCATGCGGGTGCAGTTGTGAGCTGCCATGCAGGTGCTAGGAATCAAAACTGTTCTCTGCAAGAGCAGCGCCCAGTGCTCTGAACCACTGAGCCAACTCTCCAGTCCCCAGAATTTAAAGAAAATTATTCTTTATATATCAAAATTGTTTCCTGCAGTGTTTTCCATTAGTGGGCAATCTTTTCCTTACTACCCCATTTCTGTGTTTTCACCCCCCACACACTAAATGCTTATTAGTTTTTAAATTTCTCTTATTATATCTTAAACTTATACTTTTATATTTTATTCTCCTTGTAGTTCTCTAATTTTACTTTCAAGCACTGTCATTGTTAGGAATTTTTTGTTTTGTTCTTTTTGTTTTTTTCAGCACTTCCTGCTCTTTTCCCTTCCCCTCTATGACGTTCTTCTCCACCCTCTTACCTTTCATTTACTTAACCTTGCTTCCTCCTTAGTTTCCTTGCCTTGTTCATCTGCTATTTATACATTTGTTCTTTCATTTTTGGCAAAGTTGCCTTCTAAAGCCCTATCTGGAGCTCACTTTGTAAACCAGACTGGCCTCAGACTCATGGCAATCCTCCCAAGTGAATGGTTTCAGTAACCCACTCTCCTTCTGCATAGCTCATCCAAACAAAACAAAAATTTTAAAAGTCAATGAAAACACTTCAGAGTGCACCATAGATCAAATGACCAAAATCTATAGAACATTGGTTCTCCACCTTCGAATGCTGTGACCCTCATATAATTTTTCATGCTGTGGTGGCCAAGAACCATAAAATTATCTCTTTGCTACTTCATAATTGTAATTTTTGCTACTGTTATGTAACCTAATGCGACTCTCTGAAATACAGGCTATCTGGTATGCGACCCCCAAATGGGTCACAACTCACAGGTTGAGAACTGCTGTAATAGAATGGAAAAGCAGTCTACAGCTGGGAAAAATCTCCACCAATTACACAGCAAACTAGAGGCTGACACCCAGGGTACGTAAAGAACTGCAAAGTGTAAGTGGAAAAAAAAAAACCTCAAATCAATAAATAGAATAAATAAATTAAGAGGATAAAGAGGAAAATACAAACAGCAAATGCATAGTTCAGAAGGCTTCATGCTCTTAGGCATCAGGGAAATGCAAATTAAAAGTAATTTCAACCCAGTCAGAATGGCTGTGGGGAAGAACACAAACGACCTCGAATGCTGGCCAGGATGTGAAGAGACGGGACCCTTATCCACCAGCCAGGGGAGTCGCTTCAGAAACAGCGTGGAGGCTCTGCAATAAATTAAGACTAGAGCTGCATACGGCTCAGCTACACGCTACGAACCTACTGTCTGCAGTAGCTGAGGAACAGGACTGGCCTCCGTGTCTGTTGGTTAATGGATGGATAAAGAAATGAAGTACATAAACGGATACAGGAACTTCCTCCAGTCCCAAAGAGAAGCGAAATCCTGACATCTGCAGGGGAACAGATGGGTGCAGACCATTATGTTACGTGAAATAAGCCAGACTATTTCCTCTCATCGGCAGTAACTAAAGTGTGTGCGTGTGTGCACATGCGTGCATGTGTGTGCGCATGTGTGTGCGTGTGTGTGCGTGTGCGCGTGTGTGTGCGTGGAGGGGTATGTGTGTGTGTGAGTGTGGGTTTGTGTGGTGTGTGTGTGCGCGTGTGTGCGCATGTGTGTGCGTGTAGGGGTATGTGTGTGTGAGTGTGGGTTTGTGTGGTGTGTGTGTGTGTGTGCATGTGTATGGGGAGGTATGTGTGTGTGAGTGTGGGTTTGTGTGCATGTGTGTGCGCGCGAGCGTGTGTGCATGTGTGTGTGTGGAGGGGTATATGTGTGTGTGAGTGTGGGTTTGTGTGTGTGGGTGGGTGGGTGTGGGTGTGCGGGCGTGTGTGTATGTGTGTGCGTGGAGGGGTGTGTGTGTGTGTGAGTGTGGGTTTGTGGAGTGTGTGTGTGTGTGTGTTGAAAATAGACTACCATGAGAGAGGAGGAGAAACTCCTAAAGGAAGAGGTAAAAGAGTGGGTAATGGAATTTGTATGACAGAAAAGTATTAAAAAACAACTATTTCAGGAA